CTGATGGGCACGATGTCTCAAGCAGTACATCCAAGCACCGGTCTTGGTATCATCCTCTGCATGTCTTTTGACCATACGTATCGAGGCTCGGATGAATTGACGTCTCTAGTTCCTTCAAGCAAGTAAGATCGACCGGAACAAATTAGTTGGTGTGTGACTTTCTCTCACTAGGCCCCTGGATCATCTCCCGCGACGGTGCGGGTGGCGAGTCGTTTGCTCCTCATGTCTTTACCACAATCCTGGATTGTAACTTTGGCCCACCCGATCATCCTGTCGGAATTAATTACGTTCCTTGAATTCACAGACATTGTGATATAAAGGGATCGGAAACTCGGCATATGTCCATACTACCGCATCGCATCGGTACTGTAAACTTCACAAGAGGATCAATTCTGTTGGTTTGATATGTTTTCACACGTGTGTTTTATCATGGACCCACATGTCCCGGTGCATCGACAACTCGAATTGTTTCGATTGAGGTCGGAGCTGAGCCCTCTTTGCTCGCCGTCCCATAGTAGATTAGTTTTCAATCTGGTAATGGGAATGCTGCGTACATATGCATGATGGCTACCGGTATAGCGATGCAGATGTACCAAGGACTATGCTGGTCACATGGATGTACACAGTCGGCGTGCGCTCTCAGCCCCAGAAGATATCATCGAGGGAAGATCTATGTTTACTCTGAGCTCTCAAGTCGATGCTTGAATGATGGCTGGTGGAGCTGATTAGATCGTGCATAGGGACAAGCGCGATGATGTTCTCAAATACAACCAGGATCACATATGCCAACGTTGAGGAGACGTGATTGTTACTAGACACACAATATACACTGCGATTTCGTACCCATGCCGCTTGCTCTGTCACGACGTTCACGAGAACATGCTTCCCTCTGGAGGTTGAGGGAGTTTGCGGTTGTTCATCGACGCCAGCTCCCTATGGCGTATGTTTGCGAGGGATGAAGTCGGAAAGAGTTCGTACGGGCGCACCTTCGAATCTCGACAAGGACCGTCTCAATGCTGTAGTTCCTGTTCCAGTGCGCAAGGACAGGTAGCTTCCCAGGGTCAACCTTGCCGTCAATCTGGCTGACAAAAGGAAGGTTCACGCGCGACGCGAACTGGACAGTGGGAGGTTGATCCGGGTAGTTCTCGCCACAGGTAATCCTTAAGCTGTAGATACGGTTCTCGTGAACGGTCTGAGAAGCAAAGAATCAGGTCAAACAGGGAATCTTTGAGCAAGAGGACGTACATGTCCAGGGCCAATGATTGTACCGTTCCAGTGGCTCATCATGATATCGTCTCCGTCCTCGAGCCCATACGAGCACGAGCCGTCGCCGATGCCCTTCTCGCCCTTCTCGAGCTCCTCAAGCAAGCGGAAATTGCGCGGTACTGTTTATAGAGCTATTGAGTCAAATGCCGCAGCGGCGGATAAGGAAACGAACCCTTGGCCATGGTGGATGAAAGTGGGAGAGGTGTGGCTCAGGCAGTAGAGTGAGGCAAAGGGCTGTAGTTGGCGGCCGTAGTTGGCGTAGCTGCCAAATCGAGCGAATCTACGGCGTCGGCCGGGCCGTCATCGCCTGCACGCAGCTCATCGTATGGGCGTCACTCACACTGCAATCCATCCCCGGCGCAGTCGTCGACGCAGTTCTCTTCTCTCGTCGAGTCGTCCTCCATCCTCCTTTTCTCTCTTCATCCAACACGCTACACGCACATCATGTTCAGAGGTGGCCCAGCCAGCCCGTATGATGAGATAGTCGGTAAGTATGCTTATGTCCTACATCGCGGGAACTATGGACTGGCTACTGAGCTCCTCTATAGCGAAGACTACCGATGAGAACATGACGAGCGAGAATTGGGAGCTCATCCTGAATCTATGTGATAAGGTCCAGGAAGAAGGAGAGCAAGGGTGAGTGGGTCCCAACGTCGAATAACATTGAAATCGGGAGACATCTTATACTTGCACCCCTGCACCAGTGCACGCAATGTAGTCGCTGCTACGCTGAAGCGGTTGACACATCGCAACCCAAACGTCCAGCTGTATACCCTCACTCTAGTTGAAGCCTTGTCCAAGAACTGTGGCATTGAGATACACCGGGAGATATCCTCACGAGCGTTCACGCAGGGTTTGGAGAAGCTCGTTACCGATAGGGTGCGTGCTCTGCAGCTCATCATCCTGGGCCCTTTCCTCACGATTACATCGAAGACGACACATGACAAGGTGAGGAAGCGTGCGTTGGGTTTGGTCGCTATCTGGGCGGCCGAGTTTGAGAAGGATCCTTCGCTGGGTCTCATGGAGGAGTGTCGTGATAATCTCGAATCCAAAGGTAACGTCCATTATCACGTTGTGCTTGGCATCACATATTCATCTTGCATACGACAGGATACCGATACGAGACCCCGAACGAAGCGCCACCGCCAGATGTCGATGATGAAGTTCGTCGTCGGGAAGAGGAAGAATTACAGCGAGTTCTTGAGCTCTCCATGCAGGATAAAGGAGGCCGGTCCCAGTGGGAAGGGTACTCGTTGGCATCTTCGAGTGGTGCCGGAGGGTCGGGGGCCAGTGTTTCTGCGCGGCCGACATCGTCTTCTGCAGGTCCGTCGGGCACCGGTTCCATGCCAGCTGCCGGGTCCCAAGCACCTCCCACTTACGGCGGCTATGTACCCTCATCGGCAACCCCTGCCGTATCTGCAGTCGACACATTTCCGTCGCCGTCTACTGTTACCAGCCCCACCGTCACCATCCCTTCCCCAGTAACTGTGCAATCGTCGCAGGACGGCATCCCTATCATCACACGCGTCCGCGCTCTTCATACTTTCGAGCCCACAGAACCGGGAGAACTAGGGTTTGACAAAGGCGATATCATTAAAGTCGTCGACCGCAACTATAAGGATTGGTGGCGCGGGCAGCTCAAGGGGCGTACTGGGATATTCCCGGTTAACTATGTGGTGGGCAACATCCTTGTACGAACCGTGTGCTTTCCTCACATGTACGCCAGGAACCGCTCCCTGAGCCAACCGCCGCGGAGATCGCTCGTGAGGCTGAGCAAGAAGCCGCCGTGTTCTCACAGGCTGCGAACGTCGACCGTCTTTTGACGATGCTCCGTAACATGGACCCTGCTAAAGACAATCTCGCGGATAATGAAGAGATACAGGTCCGTGTCCCTGGGCTTTCATATGTTAAGACTGAGATATTGATGATGCAATCATCGTAGGAACTGTATCGTTCATGCATGACCTTGCGCCCGAAGATTGTGAAGTTGATTGACAAGTATAGCCAGAAGCGAGGTATGTAGTTCTCTTGTGCACATCAGTTCTGCGGAGATTCACGAATGCACAGCGGATCTCGTATCGATGAATGAGACCTTTGTGAAGGCGAGAACAATCTTCGATAGAATGATGGAGGAAAGTCTCGCGCGTCATACTGGAGGTATGTGATTAACAGTCTCGATTCCTGTTGTGGAAGCTCACGTCGCCTCGAAAGTGTACGATGGTCGTCCCAGCTATATCCAGAACCCGAGCCAGCCTTACATCGTTCGGCCCGACTCACGGGCTCACTTATCTCCTGGTGGCCCTCAAGTCGGACCCGGTGCTCCTCAGGCTTATGGGTGGAACCCTCAGGTATACGATCAACCCGGGTACAACGCTTATCCCGCAGCGCCTGCTGCTTACCCAACTCCTACGGAGGGTGCCTACCCACACGGAGGTCCACCACCACAACCGTTCGTTGATCCTCATGGCTATGCTTCCGCTCGCCCGCAGTCTGTCTATCAGCACCCACCTCAGGGATATCCAGGCCCTATACCATACGGTGGTCCTGTAGAACTACAGGGCTACCCTGCTAGCCCTGCTAGCCCTGCTCACCAGCAGACGCCGCAACCCGTCCTGCACGCCGCTGCTCCCGTTGCTCCTGAACCGACCGCACAGCCGCAAATCTACCCCCAGCCAGGTGTCCAACCGGACCAGCACCAGCCTCAAGTGTATCCAGCAGTTGGCGTTCAACCGGAGACGCAAGTTTATTCGCACGGTCTATCGCAAGCTCAATTCCACGCTCATCAGCAGCAGCCAGCCCAACCACAATCACAATCTCAGGTACAACTTCAATCTCAACCACAACCTCAGGCGCAGCCTCAGCCTCAAGCACAGGTTCAACCTCAAACACAGGCACAACCGCAGCCGCAAGTACAGCCCCAACCCCAGCAGCTCGCGCAGGAGTCTTCACCAACGCCGTCGCAGCAGCCAAACGGCCCGCCATTCATCTACGACCCGAACATGACCTACCCCGACCCCAACGTCCAAGCCTGGGCGCATTACTACGCGCACGGCGGCACGGACCCCACGGGATCGGTCTACTTCATCTCTGTCCCGGGCGTGAAGGAAGGCCCCCCAGGCGTACAAGCTGCTCCCACCCCGTCTCGCACGCAGTCTAGCGACTCGACCCATTCGATCGCACAGGACGCAAACCCTGCAGCACAGGTCGGCCAGGTCGCACCGCTACAGATTAACAAGGGCCAGCAACCGCAGGCAGCGGGTGCGCAGCCCATGCCTGCTGGACCGACCCCTGCGGTGGATGGCGAAGGCCCTCCTGCGGGTGGACAACCGTACTACGGGCTCACGAACCAGTTCGCTGGAATGGAGATTGGTGGAGACGGCAGGCAGAACGGACAGGCTGGCGAAGTGGGTGCATAGGTTTGATGTGCTTGTGCTACTTGATAAGCTTAATAACTCGCCTTTGTATTTGTCGACATTGTTATGCTTGAATTCCCCTACGACTGCAGTAATCACAGTCACTGAGTCAGACAACACTCTTCCGATCTGGTAGTTCGGTGAGTGCACTTGCATATGAATACTAGTACGTGAACGTGCAATTATCGATTGGCACTAGTCGCCCGTTGAACGTTGAAGGGATCCGGACGGTAGTCTGACTTCGATATGTACAGTGGTCCATTGCGCGTACAGTAACATATGAGCACGGGAGGACCCAGTACGAAAAAGAAGAATGTATATTGCTCGGAGTGAGGGTCGAACTCACGACCTCAGGATGGCCCACTGCATGAGTGGTCATACGACGTATGAGACCTGCGCTCTAACCAACTGAGCCATCCAAGCTACTTATGTAGTTTTACGTCAAGTAATCGTTCTGCTGTACTAGATGCACTAGATGTCGTCATACCGAGGTCGTCACCTCCGAACTCGAGCCTGGAGTTGGAGGGACCTCATCCTCCTACAAACGACACGACACTTCTCCCAAACCTGCAGCGCTGTTTCACCAACGCACTCGTTGAGGTCTCTTTGCGGCTGCTTGAGGCGACGCATGCACACCATCCCTAATCTGGCCCCTCAAGCCGACGTCAAAGATCGAACACACTGGAGCCTCGTGTACCTGTGAAGTCATCTCCGACGCCGCGACAACCCACCACACGACAGGTTTTACTCCCCTTCCACTCTTCATCCTCACACCCGCGAAATGGCACCTCAAGTTGATCTCGTCCTGATATTCCGCTCGTCGCCAGGGAAAGTGCTGTCCAAGCCACAGGCCCGGGAGAACGCGCGGCAAGCCGCTCAGCAGTATACGCGCCTCCTCGAGGTGCTCAAGAACGGTCACCTGCAGGTAGTCGGAAAGAGAGGCGAGAAGGAGGGCCAGCTGCTAGTTCTCGTCCAATGCCCCGAGGATACGCTCAAGCGATTAGTGCAGAGGGAGAGGTACGTGTGATTAGTCGCAATACCGAGCGTTTGGCGCATAACCCTCCCCGACAGATACTCTGACTTCCTGTGCGGACTACCCACGACAAATCCTACCGGTACAAGAGACTTGACTAACACGCCACTCACGCCTGCGGATAGACTGCGACTTGTCTATACCTATGTCACCGCTACCCCTGCGGACGGCGGACTCGGTGTCGCACCCGGTTCGTCAACATGGGACCGCGTCGAGTCTGTGATGGTCCTGCACGACCATGAGTTCAACGAGTCCTGGATCCGCGCTTGGACGACGCGTCAACTAGGTTTCGTCAAGTTTGACAGAATTCGCGAACAGGTACGCGCTCCTCGCGGTTGTATGCTCATTGTCGCCTGCCCGGATTCTGACATCATCGTAGTTTGGCGAGGCGATCGCACTCTACTTCCACTTCCTTTCCTTCTACACAAAACAGCTGACGTTCATTTCCACGGTCGGTGTGCTGTTCTACTTCCTTGCCCTTCCGTACTCCACCATATACTCCTGCATCCTCGTGCTCTGGTCAATCGTCTTCGTCGAATGGTGGCGTATCAAGCAACGACAACTGTCGGTCGCGTGGGGGACCCAAGGCTCGTTCCGCGTCGAGAAGCGCAGGGCACAGTACATCCCGCTATCGTGGTGGCGTAAGGACCTCCGCGCCCTGGCTAGCCTCCCCGTTATTTTGTTCTTCGCCTCGGTCCTCGCGGTTCTGCTCACTGGCATCTTCGTCTTCGAGGCGTTTGTCACACATCTGTATACTGGACCTGGTCACAAACTGATTGTGAGTCTCTATGTCGCGCTGCGTTATAAATGTCACTGACGTCATTACAGGGGTTCAGTCCGACGATCCTCTTCGTGGCTCTGGTTCCCCGACTGCTCAGTATCTACCACTCCTACGCAGTCTCTTTTACCAATTGGGAGAACCACGGACACCAATCTACACACGATGCCTCGCTCACCGTCAAAACCTTCAGCTTGTCGGCAATTGTGGCGTACCTCGGCATTGCTCTGTCTGCCTTTGTCTATGTCCCTTTCGGCGAAGAGGTTATGTTCATGGTCCAATACTACCTGTTCCACGGCGACTCGACTGCCAAGACTTGGATCGGTTCACTACTCTCCTCACTTCCAGGCAATGTCACCGTGCCGTTCAACATGACGACTCCCGCCAAAGGCGCCACCTCCTCCAGCCAGACGTTCTGGGAGCGCGACAGCTTGAACGCTCGCACGAAGCTCAACCCGAAGCGTCTCCAAGATCAAATGTTCGCGTTCACGGTTACCAACCAGGTGGTCAACACCTTCCTCGAGATCGGGCTTCCTTTCGTTCTTCGCGCGGTCTCGTCGATCCGAAGTGGGAAGGGGCTCTCGCTGGCCGCACCGGCCGCAGGCGCTGGGAACAACGGCAACGGGGGGAAGAAGAAGCGTGTCATGTTCGAAGATCAACCGGCCGACGAGGTCACTGCGGTCGAGGGCGAAGAGCGCGAGTTCATGGACCGCGTGAAGAGGGAGGTCGCGCTCCCGCAGTACGAACTGTTCGCCGACTACAGCGAGATGGTGACACAGTTTGGCTACGTGTCGCTGTGGTCCACAATATGGCCTCTGGCTCCAGGTACGTGCACTTCATGACCGCGTTCACGATGGGCAACGGCATCTTTCTTTCCCACTGCATATTGGATGGACATTGGAGGGACATGTATCATTCCATCAGATTTCGCGTGCGCTAAAGCCCGAAAACAAGGAGATGAAAGATATCCAGCGATTGTCCTGCCCATTTCCTCAGGTAGGAAAAAGGGCCTTGGCCCATCGTGGTTACGATGTTTCCCGTTCTGCCGAATCTGTTCTCTTGAGCGGCGGGCCCTCCGAGAGTTCGCCGGTGTGACTGACGATGTCGTTGTCTAGTAATGGCGCTCGTCAACAATTGGCTGGAGTTACGCTCCGACGCGTTCAAGATGACCGTCCACGTCCGGCGGCCAATCCCGACGCGGACAGACACTATCGGGCCGTGGCTGGACACGCTGACGTTCCTGACGTGGTCGTCTGCGCTGACCAACTCGGCGCTCGTGTACCTCTTCCGGCCTGGTAACCAGTGCAAGCCGGTGGGCACTTCGCTCTCGCATTCGCATCACCATTTGAGTGGACCTGATTCGTCGACGGAGCAGCTGTTGAGCTCGGCGCTGCTGATAGCGCTGGGTGCTTCACATGGATACATCCTTGTGCGGATGTTGGTGCGGCACACGCTGGAGCGACTGCTCTGGCGTGGAAGCAAGGAGCAGCTGGAGGCGGAACGGATGGAGACGGTCGTGAAGGAGGAATATCTGCGCAGCCTCGGGGTGGCGGAGGTGGTTAATGCGAAGAAACATATGGCGAAGGCAGGCGAACCGGACGTTTCTCCGGCGTTTTGGAGCCAAGACGAAGGGTTGGACGAGCTCAGTCGGGAAACGAAGGATGCGTGAGCTCGCATGAACGAGCTGCGAAGATAGGCTCCGAACGGTGAACGGTGCAACGGTGTCCGGCATATGTGGCAGACGGACAAAACGGTTTACGTTAGATTACGGTACTTAGTTACGACGAAATCTACGAGTCGGACGTGTGCTAGCAATGTATCTACTGAGAACAACTCTTTGTAATCAAATTCATGGACGTACTCATCAGTATTGTCCCTCAAGGATACTGAGACAATTAGAGCCCGTGCAGGGCGGCGGGCGATGGTCGGGAATTGCCATAAGCGTAAGCGGCAGTAGGGTGGGAATTTCAATCTGGGTGAGAGCCAGGCACCATGGAGCGGGTCTGATTGCCACCAACGACCAATACGACGACGACGACGACGACGACGACGAGCGCATCCGCCGACACTCCTTTACTCTTCGCTCTTTTACCTAGCATCCGTCCGCTCACTGTTTCAGCCCTCTCTTTGCTCTGTGCTCGCTGTCGACATCGTCAAAAAGTAACCGACCACGCGCTCTCTGCCAATTGCCATCCCTACCCTACACGTGCTGATTTTTCACGACACCCTGCAGTGTGCACCGTGCACGCCTCAGAGTGACCGCATATAGCCCATCTGTTTTCTCGTGGCCTGGACCTTGTGCGACGTACTTCATTTCTTCGCAATTATGTGGGTGATCTTCCTTTTTCCCCCGGCCACGTCCCACAATCTCACACCCTTCCCGCAGGCTTAATTAGCCGTGCTACTCCCGTCTCGACGACTTCTGCATTATTGCTGTGACGTTTGGTATCGTTTTCAAAGTGAGTCCGCATTTCTTGCCCGCTACGCAGCCCAGCGCAAGTCCAGCAGTTGTTTACTGTGTCCTCTTCCCGATTCGGTCCATCTCGTAGCATGTCGGCCCAGTACGACTTTGCGCGCCCTGCGAAGCAGGTTTATCCCATGGACAACACTAGACTGCATATGGCCAGCAAAAATGCGTCCTACCTTCCCCCACATTCTCATCATAGCCCCACTTCCCGGCGGCCGCCTGTCGATTCCACCTCACTCCCATCCTCCTCATGGCTCTCAGAGGCAACAGACTTTGTGCCTCTTCCCCCATCGCGGCTTTACCTTGGTGTCGGTAGTTCCACACACGGTACCGAGTCCTTTTCGAGCTCCGGCTCGGTCTCTGAGTCGAGTCAGCACCATCGTGCCCAGTCCCGAGACTACCTCCTGTCCACTAGCCCCACTCCCTCACCGCATCCAGGTTCACGCACACAGTCGCGTCATACCCCCAGCCCCAGCCCCATCCCATCGCCTTCGCAGACACTCCACCAGTCTAGGTCATTCACTGTCTCGAGCCCGCACAAGACTTCTGGAATGTCCTCCGACCGCGACGCGAGCGGCCATTTGGACATCAAGCGCCTCATGAGTAAACCTGCAAGACAAGTCCCTTCGGGTTCGGTCTCTCTGCCTTCTGACTCAGAGCGCTCTGGCGATGCCTCTTCGAGTCGGGTTGGATCCTCTCGACGACCTACTGGAGGTACCATACCCCATCCTCCTATGACTCGCAGCGCTAGTGTCTCCCGTGAGAAGTTGTCATTGCATGTCCATACTACCGGTCTGCGCTCATCGTCCGCTCCCCGACAAGGTCATACGTCGTCTCCCGAGCGCAAGTCCGACGGCAAGCCTCCACGTAACGTGCTACGCCGCCGCCCAAGTTCGCGCTCAAATCCTTCCGTATCATCAGCCGCTGTCCACCACACTCGTGCCGCAACAGATGACGTTATCTTGCCCTCACGATCTGCGTCGACGAAAGCCCATCATACCAACCTCCGTGACGACACGCCTGCCAGGGCTTATGTGCCCCGTTCTATGACATCCCCCTCTACCTCCGCCTCGCGCCCGAGCCAATCTTCACGCATGAAGCCTTCGATCATATCACCGAGGAGTCCACACGTAACTACAGGTCTT